ACGTCAGGAAGAACAACCTTAAGAATACAACCAATGAGCCCGGAAAACCCACAACAACTTTCAAAATATATTTCAACTTATATTTCAACTCTGCTTGATTGTTGATGTCACATTGGCTTATAGATACTGTTTATGTTTTCTGGCAGGTTTTAAAACACAAAAATCTAGAAGACTTATTCACTCCTTAAAATAATGAAAAGAAGCCGACATCAGCACTTCATTAATGTCTGAAGGGGAGGAAAAGCTAGTTTTAAGGGTTACTATTAGCATTCATTTTTGCAAATGAGATAGACAGTAAACTTGTACAAATTTACTTGCAAGTAGGTGCAATTGACTTCATTGGTCAAAATCTGATGGGACATTTACACATGGAAGTTGTTGTGGCTAACTCTCAAGGTGCTGGTCACTCATCAGTAGTATGCTTGGTTCTGAGCCTGGTCATAACCTAGCATGCATGTGCTTGGTGATGATCAGCATGTGCCTGGCATCTTGTCAATAACTCCCAATTAGCCACAGCAACTTCTGTGATTCCTTTTGCATATGTGCATGTGCCCAAAAGGAGGATGATTTTGAACAGAGATTTTGGCTGAAGTTATTTCAGTTATGTGATTCTAGAAGAAATTAGGGAACATATATGCATCAATTGGTACACAAATTCCTATGTACAAAGACTCTATAGATGATCTAGGACTTCTAAGAAATTAAGGAATATGCAGTTGTTGGATGATGAAAACTGTTGAACATGTTCAACAGGATTTTTCTATATGGATGTTCATACTGTAAGATTTTCCTATGTGTTTGGGGCTACAACAAAGTTATAGTTTTTAGGAAGGGAGTAACAAATGTCATGTATATCTTTGGTTATTATTAGGAATGGATGAATCTGTCAGTTCCAGTATTTCTCATCTATTTGTTTTCCATCATCACGTTGACAAAACCTGTCAATTCCAGTATTTCTCACCTTTTTATTTGTTTTCCATCATCACGTTGACAAAAAATATATATTCAAACTCTATGTTGGGAACCCTCCTCATACATTTATTTACTCCTTCAGTCTGTTAAGGTCTCCATAGCTCCATCATCTTGTTTAAAAAAATGTTGAGGGAGAGAAGGAGGGAGAAAAACTGATAATTCATTTTGCCCCTCACTCTGCATTTATTTGAAGACTGTAAAAAAAATTGCATTTTCATCTGATATAATCGTTTTCCACATAAAAATTCCCTAATATCTTAGCCATTTTGTGTGCTACAGTATTTTATATACATATAAATTCCTCTGTACAATTTGCTGTAATATATAAACTTTTATACCTACATTTTATTAGCAACCCTCAATATTTGAAAGAATGTTAACATCAAAGTAAAAATACATGATTTTCATTTTTGTGTTGGCTTGAGAGAGATGAGTTATTGATATTTCCATTAAAATGAGAATTGCACACATTCAATAATTATAGTTAACTTCTGGACCCACTGATCACTTTTCAGGACTCTATAAAGAGTGTCAATGCCAAACAACATTAGTTGCTGATAGCAATTCTCCTTGTCACTGTGCTGTGCAACTGGAGTTATTACCTAAGTGGCAACATGGTGACTTGTTCGTTGAACAATGGATGAAAGAAATAAGGCACACCTTGCTTGTTAACAGAACTGTCTCATATGATTAGACATACAGAATGAATAGAATGATAAAAGAAACAGCACTCAAGAGAAATTGACTTTATTTTTTTGATTTTTTTGGAATATCAGATATGGACAAAATGTATCTGCAAACTTATTGCTTCATTAAGGGGATTTGATATTGCATTTTGTAATATGCTTTATTAATTTTCTTTAAGTCTCTTGTTACTTCTTTGTTATTAATGTTAAAATTAAAGAAAGGTCAAGAAAAGAGTTCACAGTCTTTGTGGTTTGTTCAATGCATCCTGCAAAATGTTACACTTAATGCACTGTATGGATAGTGGATAATGTAGCATACCATATAAAAATGTGCTTCAGGGTTCAGGTGCAACAGTTTTACAGTTCTTCTCTCACACACCGTTTTCTTTGTAAACTAATGTGCATCATGTGTTCTTTCCTCAGAAAGTAGTACATTTAGCCACAATGTTAAACTATAGTTTAGTGTTATGGGTTTAAGCTTCAGGAAAGCTCAAACCTACATGTTTCTCCTGCCCCCTGCCATATGACTCCTCTGGCATGGCCAAAAATAGATCAGAAATGTTCACTTCCATTTTCAACTAACCGTAGTTACTCATTTGTCAGCCCAAGAATTGTGGCTAGTGTTAAGAGTAACTTAAGTAGATATGCCAGAATACTATTGTATAAAGCTGGTTTGTTTCTCTAATCCATGGTTAATACTAGCATAGTTTGTCCAGGTTGACATTTAATGTTTGAAATCCAGTAGTAAGTCACAACTAGAGTATCAGTGGGGATTTGGTGAGTCAATTCCTTCATAAGTTCCATTGATTCAAAGGGCCTACTCTAGTTATGATTTACTAATGAATTTGAGCCAATGAGTAATTCCAGTCAATTGAAAATATAAACAAATGCATGCAATCTGTTCTTTTAACCTGTGTGAGTGGGGGGCACCACACAAACTTCAAGACTCATGCATATAACACTAAGATATAGTTTACACTTCCATGCAGACCAGGCCAACAACAGCACACAAGCAATATCTTATTCTTCACAATTCAGCAGCTTAACATTTTGCTCATTTAGAAAGAGTAACTGAATTAAAGTCATTCCCCCCCATAGAATGAGAAACACATGTAATAAAACCACTGGCATTACTATTTAATCTTGTAAAATAATATAGGGTGTGCTTTGTTTTTCTGCTTTTAAAATTCTGGATGCCGTAGTGTAGAAAAGAGGAACATGGATGGATTGAATTTGTCCAAAAATAGCTTCCACATTTAAAAGCAGGCCTCCTGGAGGATCACAAATGCAAGATTTGCATTCATATGTGATCAGATCTAGTCAGAATTTGCAAAGTAACAAAATATTAGAGCCAAATAATAATGAAGCAGAAATCATACTTGATGAAACCACAAGATTGCTTTGTGTATGACCAGAGGATGGGAAACAACCAAGATTCAATAGGGAAGTCAGTCTACACTCACAAGTGCTGAGATTTATAAGCTCTTTGAACACAAGGCATAACCTAGTAGATTTTATAATCACAGATGTTTGAAGATAACTCTGATACCTTTTGAAAAATATAACTGGAATTTCAAAGAATAAAAAGGCCCAAAATAAATTAACATAGGCATCAAATAGCCAAAACAAATATTCCTCATTCAGTGTAGCTGGTTGTCCTTAACAGCTTGGTATACACTCACACATTTTAGGGAACAATATTATAGTGAAGAGGCAATTAAGCTAATGCTACAGTGAGTAAGATGCATTTATAAATCAGTTTTAGCTGCTGTGGCAAAAGTTATGAATAGTAAACAGTAAAATCTTGCACACTAGGAATTAGATTCCTAAATCAGTGTAAACTGCCATGTTGAATTACAGATGTGGAAGCAAAATTCTTCTTCTTTTTTCTTTTTGTATAGCACCAACCAAATCCAGTAAAAATGCTTTCTTGCAACTTGTAATATAGTAGTCCATAGGACTTCTCTGATTAAAAGAAGCAAAACAAAATTTATACAATATCGCCACCTCATTACCTAGTTTAGTGATCATCACTGGTGTTTCAAGAGAAAGAGAAAATATTCACAAACGTAAGAAAATGTTGATGTAAATAGCATCCCTTTCAAAGGCATCATATCATTAATATTCATTGGTTTTGATAACACTATTAAAAATTAAATTTAAAGACGTTCCTTCACTCGGAAAGTCCCTGAGAGTTTTGTTCAAACCTCTCCTATTGTTAAAAAATCTTTTTGCAGTTATGTGAGTGGAAGTTATAAATCTACAACGACTATATGATCCAGTGCTAAATAAATACAGCTTAAGCGAAAACAAGGCAAGGCAATCCAGACACAGAGATAAAGGCAGAAGACCCTTTTATTTCGCATAGACAAAATGCAAAGAGTGTCTCATTAAATTAATATTAAAAAAAGAGAAAAATGCCAAAACCAAACCGAATCCCCCACCATTTCCCACTTCACTGACTCACAGCACTCATCCTAATTAACAGTGAAAGAAAAGAAAAAAAAAGATCAGGGAAGGACCCACTTTCTAATTAAAAAAAAATGTGCAAAACATGACAAAAGACCTTTTTTGCCTTCTCAAATAAATATCCCTTTAAATTCACAAATAGGGTGATTTTTTAAAAAATTGTTTCCCTCCTAACTCGTATGTGATGGAACTCCCAGTTTAAAATATTTTATTTAGTCCCCATGCACTTTGTAGAAAATCAGTAAAAACACAAACGCTTGTGAATATCAGAAAAACTGGACTCCTTTTTCCCAAAAAAAGTCAGGAGGCTCAGTCGGATGAAGCTCACACTCAGACAGAAAAAAAGCCAGAGAGTCTTTGCACTGTCTGTCGGTTGCATTTTTCTGTCCCAAATATTTTGGCAATCTTCTTCTTTAATTATAAATATTGGAATTCAATAAAAAAGGTAGCTTTGATTGGTTTTTTTAAATAATTGTTAAGTATTTACAGCCACTGTCCAGCCATGCTCTTTTGTTATACCAGGGTGTAAGATTTTGCGTATGGATTGTTTCCTTTCAAGTGGCTCCGGGAGTCCAGAAGAGATTCTTGGGAGCTGCTCATTTTGGCTGCCTGTCCTAGCTCAGCTCCTTCTCGCTGAGGTAATGTTGCTACGGCACCAGGTTGCCATGACTGTCCTTCTCTTGTGGAAGAAGTCTCCATGGGTATTGGTTCCAAGACAGTTGGGCGCTTCAAGGTGCGGCTTTTTTGAGGTTCCAGACAAGTCTGTCCTAAACCCACGTCTCTGCTTGTGCCTGAAGCACCTCGGTTTAACAAAAAGTCCATTCTAAGATACGGCGGCAAATGCATGAGGTCACCTGTTAAGGGAAGGGCAGGGGAGGAAAACAGACATGCTTGGTTAAATCTCCTGTTATACAGTGAGGGAGAGAGAGAAGGAAAGAGAGAGATTGGGTCAGAGATTGTATTGAGAAACAGATAGCCCCCTCTAGTCATTCCTAAGGAATGCTGGTTTAATAGTTTGGTAAGGTTCTGTTATAGCTCAGAGGAACGCACCAGAATTGTCCAGTGGAGCATTCAAAGTACCTTATCAAACAGTTAAAGTGGCACCAAACTAACAGATCTACGTAGTGCAGATACAACCATATAGAGCATCCTTTTGAATGATACTGATGTAAGGGATAAAAATGAGACATAAACCTAAGATATTGAACTGAAAATGAAAACTTTTCAAGAAATAAGTGTACCTGTTTATCCACTGGAGATTCATTGTCTGCAAATTTGCTACAAATGAAGGATAATGGTATATCGACAGGGTTTCCTCCACTTAATGGAGAAACCCGTTTCTCTAGGACAGTGTCTTCCTAGACTTCCATGACAAGAATGTGAGTTAGACTACCATCATAAATGCATTTTAAATTCATAAATATATATTTTATACACATGGATGGAAAATACGTTCCATTACAGTAACTGAAATCTGTGCTAACCTTCCAAAGTACAATTACAAAACAAATCAAACTTGTCTCCAAACGACAAGAAGTGTGAAAAGTTCCAGACATGACAGTTATTTTCAGGACTTAACAAATTTCCTCCTCAAAAGTTGGGGTAACTGGAATGTATTGTTTGGCCCTAGTAGTGCAAAAAATAGGAAGGGGCAGAAGAGATCTAGAACTTTGCTGGCCACCATAGGTGGGCTTTTTTATTTTTTATTTTATTTTATTTTATTTTTTAGCTTAGTGAGCATAAATGCATGCAGGCTTCACCTGGCATCTGGATAATCTATAAAAGTGAGAGGTCCCTCCACCTACAGAACTGATTATGAAATAAAGACAAAAGTCTCAGGATGTATGTAAAAATTGTAGGGAATTATTTCACTTCAAAATTTGCCCCATGTGTTTTGGGCAAACACTTTACAGCCTTCTTCCTACAAAGAAAACCTACAGAAGTACTTTTTACTAAAATGCTTTAGAATACATTGACTAGATTTGAGTCTTCAGTGCTATCTGCCAGAGCTGGATGTAAGTTAAACAGAAACAGAGCAAAAGTTTCTAAGCGCAGGAATTATCTTACAATAGTACAGTTGCACAAGCAGTTTTTAAAAAAAAGGTAAAACAGAGAGATTGGTCTGTGCCACGAACAGACCTTTAGACTACAGGTTGAACTAAATACACCACAAAGAATTTCTCCCCACTGTGTCAGCTACAAAACAGAAAGTTGCCCAGGCATTTAAAATAAAGGAGATTCCCGGTGGGCTTTAGAATGATGTTACGTATTGTTATCTGAAAAATAACCTGTTCTGCATGTCAAAACACACACAGAGAGAAAATGTTTCAAAGGTTTGAGCAAAATCTCTGTTTATTTCTGCAAGCTTTGTTTGGCACCATATGCTTTACTGTAGCAAAGTTTCCAATGGAGATGTATGGTGCACTATTTTTAGCATGATGTGTTCTTCTTGTTTAGGGAGTAGACTAGCATACACTTGCATTTACATAATTGGAAATAGAACGGTGCCCACAGGTATTACAATTGTCAATTTACATTTCTCAAATTCTGTTCACCTTAAGGCAATTTAGATGTATAAAATTCATTCAGACTTTAAAAATGGGGAGGGGTGGAGAGGCATGGAACAATGGTATACATGAAGAAGAATGAGAGGGAGACCAACACAGAGAATGGAGAAAATATTGACAAATATTTGATAATTACAACAAAACTCCTCTAGTTTTCTTGAAGAAAACTGAGGAATGGAAGACATGGACCATATCTATGCCACAGATGTAGGTTTAATATAATATGCTGCCACTGAGGGAGCATATTATATTAAACCCGAGAGCTGGAAGTCTGTGAGATGAGTTTAGATCTAGTGGAACAAATTACAATTCTCAGCCAGGAACGTCATTGTGAAATTATAGCAAGTATAAATGCAGCAGGATTGTGTGATTTGCCCTTAGACTGTTCTGACAGCATTTTCTCCTACAATTTATTTAAAATTGTGCAAGGAAAATGTTGGAGGGTGGGTGGGACTCTCTTGAGATATTTGTTTCATTACATTCATTTTATGTTCCATTTGTTATTTTCTCATTCATTTCCTTTCTTTTTCATTACTTGTTTCATTCATTTTTCATTTCTAAGAACATGAGGCTTTAAATGCACAGCACACAACTGAACGTGTTTTATTTTCTAACTTACAAGTAATCATGCAAGGGCCAGGCCTCGGTCAGGACCATCATGCATGGGTAGGAGACCCTTATCTTCTCAGCTGCTTGTATTCCTAGCAATGCTCTCCAAAAGGACTGAACTAGTGGTAAGCAACCACTGGAGATCCAATTTTTAACCCAAGTCCCTTCTGTTGGCTACTTTGGGCCACTCATGTTTTTTTTTAAACTTTTTTTCAGGAAATGCCAGAATGCCTTCTAATTTTGTCTGCGGTGGATGAGGAAACTTCGAGAACTCCCCTCTGGCCCTGATGCAAAAATTGCCTATCCTGAAGTTCTCCTGAGAAAAACAGGGATTCTTAAGCAAGCAAGCAAACAATTTTTTAAAAATGGGGAGGCCCTAAATCCATGGGTCACAAGAATCCCCCTGTGGATTTTATTTATTTATTTATTTAACTTATATCCCACCCATCTGATGGCACGATGAAAGCTGTATGATAAACAAAGAGAAAAGAGTCCATAGGTGTGTGTGTGTGTGTGTTACTTCTAAGTCAAGTTAAAAAGAGGCAATAGCACACTTTTAACACTACAATGCTGATTTTTTTCATTTCTATATTAATTAAAACACATAGTCACTTTGTGTTTTGATATCTATTGGCCTTTTCATCCCTATGGTGTCAAACGTTGAGTAGCTATATGGTGTACTACTTACTGCCCTAGAAGTACCATATCTGTCAAGTGTTTAGACTGGAGCAACTACTCTCATTGCATGATCTCTATAGTATCCATTCCTTTATGCTTTATGCTTCATAATGGGGCCAAAGTATATGCAACAGGTAGTTTTAATAAAAGCAGTGACTCCGGAAATATTAATAGCTTTCTGATTCCACATGGTCTCCTGATTACCTGTAGCTTGCTAACTAGCTTGCTTTGTTTTGTGATTGGCCATCAGGTATCAAATATCAGCTGAAGTTACATTCTGATCGCTCAGATACAATGCGTGGCTAAAATACTAGTGTGTTTTCTTTTTTCTAATGACACACTAATTACAGTCTCTAATTTAGCTCTTAGATACGGCCTCTTTCAAGTCTGAAGGGGTAAAACATGCTAAAGGGATAGTCACACTTGCAGAAGATGGGAAACTTGTTATGCATAGAAGTTTACACAAAAATGATTACTCATCTCCTGCCTCCTGACACACAGAGGATCTCATATCTCCTCTTCTCACTCCCATATCAGAGAGAGAGAAAGAGAGAGAGAGAGCATACTTCTTCCTATGTGCCTTCCTTTCACTGTCCTTAACAGTTGCTGGTTACCCCCTCTGCTCCCCCAATTTCATTTTCAGCTTCTTCCTATGTGCCTTCCTCTCACTGTCCTTAACAGTTGCTGGTTAACCCCTCTGCTCCCCCAATTTCATTTTCAGTATATACTGAGTAAGTATACATGCATCATAAACTTTGCCCTAGTCTTGCTTTTTTTCTGTGTGAAATAAAATAAAATTAAAAAAAAAAAGAGTTGCAGGTCAGGCTACAAAGAGTACTATCCAACTTGGGAGGGAAGTATGTGGAAGTGACTTTTCCCTTTGAATCTAACAACACTTCACAGGTTTGGTCGCAATAAACACTACTGGTCTACGTAGAAGAATGATCTTACATAGCATTAAGCAACTTTTAATGTTTTTACAATGTATCAGAGCAACAGCCAGGGGGACCTTATAGGCAATAATGGGTAATGTGTTAACTGATGGGAACTTAAGAGACACAACTTATAGGTTTGCAATGTATAGCATTGAGCCAAGAAGACTATTCAGCGATGACACTCTAGTATGTTTGCCCTAGAGCCACCTTATGGAAAGAACAGGAGCTTTTAAAAAATGGAAGTACAGTACAAGGCATGCGTCTGGATGGATTGCCATCACCACCACCACCAGATGGTCTACATGGCACATTTAGATCAAGGTACAGCATTTCCTTCAAGAACATCAATTTGGAAAAGGAAGGGTTGGCATTACATCCGTAACAGTGGAAGAAATATGGCACGTATTCTGTTCTTTCAATTGAAAATTAACCCATTTCCTTATGAGTAAAATTTGTCAGGTCTTGCTATAGGATGATGATAACCCAACTGATAATGTTTCTAGGCAAAGCTTTAAGTAATAAGATGCTTCACTGCCTTTGATGCTCTAATTACCTCTTTTCAGTGGGGTGTGTGTTTTATTAGCAATGAAAGGAAACCTTTCAACTCTAGAACATTGAAAATAAGTGTGCTTAATAATTCATGAACTGAGGCTTAATTACTACAAAAGCTATTCAGAAATGATGCTTTTCTAATACAGTTTAAAATCTTTTGGTCTGGATTAGAAAGGTAGAAATACCATCACCCATTCAAGCAGTTGTTTTGTGGCATACACAGCCCCTAAATTCATTTTGATACTAACCATTATTCCAGCAGGATTAAGTCACTGAACACACCCTATCAATTGTTTTCTGCTAACATGGCCCAATGGCCCAATTGTAAATCTGCTAACATGGCCCAATGGTTTTGCATCCAGATGTTCAACTAAGCAAGTTAAGTAGTCCCTCAGTAAAGGAGTTTCAGAAAACTTGACAACATTGCTAATGATCTGTCAAGCTGATTCTGACTTATGGTGACCCTTTCCAGGGTTTTCTCGGTATACCGTGCTTAGAAACGGTTTACCATTC